GTGAAAGACAGAAAACAGGAAGAGTCAAAAGAAGCAAAAGAAGTCTGGTAAGAAGCAACTGGAGAAAAGTCAAAGGTCAGTGAAGGCAGCTGATGTCTAAGCATAACTACAGCAGGAGACCTGACAACTTCATTGAAGTCACAGTGTTTTCTCCATTCACTTGAGAGCTGCACAGTTGGTTTTCAGTCTGCCTGAAAGCATCTTCCTGATTAATATACAGTATCCAGCATTGTCTCTAAGTCACAATGTACATTTACTTTCCAAAAAACTCTTTTAGGTTATGTACTGGGTGCTGAAAGGTTTCATTTTCTTCATTTAGAAAGTACACACACAGAGACAAAAAACAGAATATAAAATAATGCAAACATAATTTTCTTTTTTTTAACTTGTGACTTCCAAAATGCTGAATCAAAACTGTTGTCTATACTTGTTAACTTACTGAGTACCCATTCCAGCTAACACACAGAGAGGACAACTGTTACAGAAAACCACTGGAGATCTCACAGTTGTGTGTACCGAGATCCTTAACAATTTCAGAAGCATGGACACTGGATTCCTCAACATGAAAACAAAACCCTGTCCTTCTAACATTACACAAAACCACCACAAAAGTTTTAAACAGCTCAAATAGTTGCCCCCACTCTGTCAGACTTTGACACCTCTACAATTTGTCTGTTAAATCCTTGGAACTAGCATAGCTCCCATTGCAGTAGTTTCTGAAGAGTTCACAATATTTTATGTATTTATCATTTGGGTAGGACTGTGTGAATGTAAAAAATATTGGGTTTTGTCAACCAGTCTTTCAAGCAGTATTACCACATTCAATTTAAAAACTAGCGCTTTGTGAGATCCCGAAAAATATACAAAGTCTGCGACAGAAGGAAAAAAAAGGCTACCTTTTCCCAAAGTCCATGCTCACTTCTGAACCCAAGGACTCCTGTTACAGAAGAAAATATGTTCCTTCTTTACATTAACATCACTTTCACCTACTGGAGCTAGAACCAGTAAAATCTATGAAGGTAACTGAAGTAGATACGATCTAAAATTCCAAGGTACAAATAGGTAAGACATAAGGAAAACAAAAGCAATTTTTTTCTTCAAAACAGAGAACAAAATAATATAAAAATGTTTTTGGTTTTATCTCGTTTAACATGCATACTCTATTTTAGGATTCCACTCTCAAATTCTTCATCATCCTTAGTATAGAACCAAAAAATGATTGGGACTCAGCTGTCACACTTTGTACTTATAATTTAAATTCCTATATAAATTTCCACATAATAATCCAGATTTCACTGCTGAGATGTACAACTATCTCTACAGTATGCTAAGTGTTCACTATAACTAAAAAAAAAAAAAAATACATAACTTTACATTGTTATGTCAAAATTGTGAGATCTAAGAAGGGGTTTGACAATGGCAAAAAAGGGCTAAAGAAATATAGCTCAGGCTTGACCTGAAGCTTACACAATTTGCCATGAGTAAGAGATGCTTTCTTGAAATGTGCAAAAATGAAAGAATATAACAATTCTAAAAATGCACAATGATTTGATCTACAAAACATTATGGGCTGTAGAATGACCTCATAAAATAGATTTTTTTTTTTCCTTATTTCAGTGAGGCAAGTTTTTAAGCTATTGACACCTATAAGATATAATCAATTAATACTTTTCTGCTGTTTATCTCATGAACCAGAAAAAATTTGTGTTTACTTTGGTCCAAATTATTTATTGAATGTTTATTCTGATTTCACTATGCCCATCTGTCATCACATGACTACTTAGAGAGAATCTAAGATTTCAGAAATTGGCTAAGTAGCACAACTATGAAAATACAGTCATCATAAATAATTTTATTTTTTCCTGTCAAACTTTCCACTTCATTATGTCTTTCTCCAAAACTTCACATCTTTCATTAGCTGGCTGAATTTCCCTAAAAGAAAAAGTGCAATTCCACTCAGGGAAATAGCAAAATGGACACCAGAGTCTGCATCATAATAAAATAATTTTGGACTAACAAAAGTATTGTATAAAACAGACTTATTTTAGTAATGGTTTAACTAACCATGTTTTTTTCTTAGCAGTTAATAACTTCATTGAAGTTTAAATTATCTTTTAAATCCTTTAAATTAATCTACTGTTGACTTATTGTTGACTGATTAGTTGGGTAGTAAATGTATGTATATGAAAAGTACAGTAAAAAACTACTAGCAATTAAATGTGGTATGTCATCTAAGCATTAAAGACAATATTGTTATAGCATGATAAAAGTTCTATTAGGAGAAATGAGCGGGGTTTTTTTATTGAACTATAGTCCACTTTTCTTGGGGTATTTACTGATCAGGAAAAGAGCAACATTCTCTCTTGAAATTAAAATCTCCTACCCCCTCCAACTTTTTCTTTATGATATAACAACTTTTTTTGGTTCCAATTAAAAAGTAAAATAAAAAATGTCAATAGCATCACCAACAAGGTAAAAATACTTTTCTGAAAATGAATCAGGTGCAGATATTGAACTGTACTTTTTCATCCTTTGTCTCACTTTTCAAATGATAATTTCTTCCACAGCCACCATTAAATCTTGATCTATTCCAGCTCTCTGTATGGGTCATTGATTCTAGATGTACCATGGTTATTTTTAAATGTTTCCCTTTCGTAGAGAAAAAGAGGGCTGTCTAGAGCCAGATGGGTACCTTCACACTTCATTTATCAAACCAAATGCATTAGACTCCACCCTCTCTTTCCCACTGTTGCTGTTAAATTTCCATATAATTTGGTAACAATTTTCATTATCATACAGTGACCCTAAAAACTCTACACAGGTTTGTATGGTTAGTCCAAAATTCACAGCTGTTCTCTTTACCTTCTATTTGTTACAGTAGAATCTAAGGTTCCTCTTACTTTATAAGCTGAACGGTGACCTTCCATAAGCAGAGGTCAAGAAGGGGTCAGTTCAAAGGGCTAGAGCAGCTCTTTAACAGCTATAACAACCTGTCCATCAGGCACTATCGTGCAGTATAAACAAATCTGGGGCTTTAGAAACTCTGGACCATTTCTGTTAACACTTAGAGAACATTCACTGAGTCCTACCCAAAGTATCTTGGATCACTACCACTCAACAGAGAACAACTTGAATCCCTGGAAGACCTGCTCAGATACTTAAGATACAGATGACATCTTTGAGTCAAAAGTATATGAAACAGTGAGCCATAACACTAAGTGCACTACCATCTGTTTTGGTCTATGGAGCTGAAATGAAAACTAAGATAAACTGAAATAAGAGAGTAATTTAAATTCATTAATATGCAGAAATGCTGGTACAACTAAAAGCAAGTAATGCAAGGAGATGCTTTAACAAAGTAGACATGCATCAAAACAGTTCACAGGCCTTTCTCTAAGAAAGGCTAAATTTCTAAAGGTCGAATTAGTTAGTATTAAAAAAATATGTGCTGAGAACTGTTAAAGTTGTCAATGACACAAATAAAACCCACAAAAGAACAGAATACCTAGGTAAGTCTAAAAAGACCAAGTGCAAAGTAAAGTTTTTGCCAGCTGCCGTCCCTTCATTGACCTAAATTTCTTGAAGTTGTACTGTTCATAATGTGCTCTCTAATGCACAATGTAAGGTAATTAGAGTCATCTGTATTTAACATCCACAGGAAAAAAAATTCTATTATCTAATCTAGCTGATCCCCTGATAGCCTGTTGAAAGTAAAATACTGTAACCTATTGCCTGCCCTTTGACAAGTGCTAATTATTTCCTGTCCAAGCACATTTTTCTCATGTAATTCCAAAGTACACAATAGAATGATCTCTAAAACATGGGCAGCCCTGCTAGTACCACGGCGGACGTTTTATAACTTTCACCACCGTATGCTTGATGGCTACCACAGTCGGCGCTTCATTCCAGACATCTAGCTGAAGCTTTGAAGAAGTCAAGTGAGGTGTACAGTAACAGTCTGGTTATGCAGATCATACGGATGAGACTCTCGGCTGGGTCACCAGAGTGGGAAACATCAAATGGAAAGAAAAAGGATTATGGATATTTAATACTCAGAGGACACTTTCTTTCATAACTTTCAAGGCACAATGCTCTTGAAATTTTCTTTCAGGTGTTCAGTTTTAAGAAGGCCTGCACTTCGTCTGCTTGTGCCTTTTCCCACCCCCACCCAAGGACTTCAGCATTTCTGTGTCAGACTGACCTACATCTCCAACCGCAGCACTGGCCCCAGCCGCTGGTTACACTGCCAGCAGTCAGCAGAGGCCAGAAACACTGTAGCCCACGTTACTTTTAAAGAACTCCTGACTGCCATGACTCCTGATGACTTCCTATATTAGGAAACCGTTGTTAAACTAAATGAACACTCAAAAGATGTTCCACTCATTGTAACTGTTTAGCCTTTTCTTATCTCTTGTAAGCTGGTGCAAAACAGAGATGCATGTGTCCCACAGAAAAGCCTTAAGTGAGTTCTTCTGTTTCCAATGTAGCTGAACTCTTTGAGCTACTTAGTAAGCACAGCGATACAAGACAAACACCACAAAAATCCCTTAAATTACTCGGAAAGGAAGAAACAAAACCCACACAATAATACAGTATTGTACTCACCTTATTAAGCTCTTTTGCACTGAGATCTTAACTGATCAGCATACAACAAACCTTTCATACTCAAAAGAATGCAACAGGATAAAACACAGCCTCTAATTTGTATAATTACTATGTAATAATGTTTCATTTTTATCTTAAGCTTCTAAAAACGTTTCAAGCCCACTCACTGTCATTACTTGTAACAGCAAAGCCACTGAAGTGGCAGATCCAATATCCACAATTAAATTTTTAAAGTTAATCTCAGAATTTTCAGGAAATTTCGGAAATTATGCAATATATTATTTACATACAAAATTATATACAATATATGCCCCCTCCCCCCCAGGATTTATAGGAGTGCATTTGATATACTTGTTCTAATTTTATTACGTTACTATTTTTCAAAAATGTCTCACCTTTCTGTCCATTCTTTCCGTAGCTTTTGTCGCTCAATAAGAATTTGCATGATGCAGCTGATAGTTTCCTTCCTTTGTTCCTCAATTTGTTCCTCTTTTCGAACTTCAGAGAGGACTAGCCTTGTCTTAAAGGGAAAAAAAACACATAAAAATTATAATCTAGAAATAGCAAACAATGTGTAAAATTAATAAAAAGCCCATAAGCAAATAAGGACAGTAAATCAATAGCTTTTTTTATTACAGTTCCACTGCTGACAAATCAATACAGTAAATGATGGTTAGAAATGGCTGCCATATATTTGGTATTTAATCGATATACATGGCACATAAGGTAAACCTTAAAATCTCATTGCCTTAAGTAACACAACAAGACATTGTGCATTCTAGCTCTCATTTTCTTGAGACATAATTATTTTCATTTCTAAATATTTCCATGTATCAAATCATATCAGAAATGTTTCCCTCAATACAGCATTCATTTAGGGGATTTCTCCCTCCCCTTTGATCATTGGTGAAGATCAAGAAGAAAATACCTTTTTGTATGGCATCTCCTGAAATGAAATTCTGATTATGTTCCTGTGTTCTCTTTATCATGAAGTATTTCAAGTAAACAAGTAGTAAAACTCCCTTTTTTCATTTATGGAATAAGTTAAAAATTGCTAATATATATATACCGACACACAATGGATTTAAATCATTTGTGTATGTGCCAACAGTTAATGCTGATGTAATGAAACTGCAGATCTTATTGTCCTTCATCCATCCAGCAGGCTAAATCCAACTCCCTCAACTCCATCTTTGCCTTCAATTACTAGCTTGCCCACCATATTCTCCTCTTCTTTCCCCTACACCTCCCCATGTCCACCAGCTTGTGAAAGAAAAGGCACCTGGTGATGCTCATGCTACTGACACACGTGTCAACTAGCACACGTGCTGACTTGATGTGCAGCAGTCCAACCACAACTGAGATCTAGAGTTGATGCTGCAGTGTTTTCCTCAGTGAAGATATTACATTTGTCTTTCTTGTCTTAACCACCCATTGATACTCAATTATTTTTGCTATTTTAACCTTCAGTCATATGTTCTGTAAACATACCAAAGTATCTAAACACTTTTGGGAAGGATGACTGAATGGACAGAATGCTTGCACAAACCTGTGGGTTTTTTTTTCACTTAAGAGGCAAAAAATATGTTTCTAACCCAAGCAGCTATGGAATTGAGGTTGAAAACAGAACTCCAAGAGCTGCAATTCCTACTCCCAGCATAGTCTCTTTTATAGGAATAACATGACAAAGACACGGCATGTTGCCTCCTCCTCAACATCACATACACATTACATTCTGCCCTGCCCAAATATATAGCCATGAAAACACCTCTGGGATTCTGTGAGGTAAATGGTTGTTAGTATCTTTAGTCTGTGAAAACAGGAATACCTATCCTTGCTCCAACAGGTTTATTTGTCTGTCTTTCCTCCAATAAACAATAATATGCAGATTATACACTTCTTAAGCAACCTAAAGCAGCAGTAACATTGCTACTGCCACAGTGGTTCCAAGAGACAAGCATGACAGGCTTCATAATGACAGAAAATAATTTTATTACACCAACATCAGATGACAAAGAACAAAAAGTATCTTCCCAACTCCCAGTTCTATCAGTTGACCTACCAAAAGGCATTACCCCATCATATGGGACTAACACATCAAAAAGAACATTTTCTTGTAAAAAACCAAAATGTTCAAAACTGTCTATACGGATCACATTCTTGACCCTGCTTTGACATTACAAAGCAAACAAAAAGCCAGAGAGCATTTTCAGATAAGGATTCCTTGACATGGGTTTCCCTTGCACTGACCTACAACATGTTTTCCACAAGCTCCAACATCCGCCAGCTTCAACAATCCTGATCGTACAGCTTCGCTTCCAGCAGCTGCACAGTTTAAAGCAGGATTTGACAGAGGACTTCAGCACAGGAGAACATACATGGGATGAAGAGATGTACATTCTTTAATTGAGGTAAATTAACCCTCCTTGTCATTCAGAATAAATACACCTATTAAGGCTTTAACATCTACATTTACCATGTGCGAGACTTGACACAGCACTGTAACCAAAGCTTATCTCTGTACTACTGGATGATCAGGAAGTATCCTTACAGCTAGGTCACAGTACTCCAGGATTTCCCTTTCAGAATCCTTGGATGAACTTACTAATCACAACGGGACAGGGAAATAACAGTGGGGATGGTGCAAGAGTCTACTTCTCCAAGATAACAGGAAAGTCCCAAGTTTAATGATGCTATGCCTCACAAAACTGAAAGTACAGTTCTTTGTAGGCAACAAACATCAAGATCCCATAAATAAGTCATTCCTAAAGCGTAAAACATTGAGAACTGATAGTTTCTAAAGAGTTTTCAGTTAAAATCTGATGAAAAGATTATGTGATTAGAGTATTACCAGTTAGAAGAGATGGATGACCACTTCCCCAACTATTCACAACCACATAAAGCTTTTATATGAATTCCAATGGCCTGGCCAAATTTCAACCTTGGTACTGTGTTCCACTAGCTAAAGTCCCCTCCATCTACAGGAATGTCATAACTCTGGAGATCGAACACAGGTTAATTTTTACTGAAAGAACCATCACACTGCTCCAGCCTTCTGCTAACACCTTTCCATTATATGGTGATGCACACAGTTCAAGTCAGACTCAGTTTGGCACTGACATCATAAACGCTTCTTTACTGAGTCCTGCGAATGCAGTTGCAGCTACCTGGAGGGTGAAGCAGTACTACTAAGCAACATGCAATGTCAATACACAATAATTTAACTGATTTTTCATTTTCTAAGACTGCTAAGGGCAGCAAGGTTACCCAGAATGTGAGAGCAGGGCTCGATGTGCACCTTTAATAGAGGCATTTCTTAATAACTTGCTATTCATATCATCTCAATAAAAATCCCAAATTGTATCAAATAAAGCAACATTCTGGGTAAAATAATATTATAAAACACGTTCCTTTAAAAGTTTTCTTTTCCACGTAACTTGTTCTAGGATTTATTTTTAACAAGAGGATTCAATATATGCCTTGACTGATAAAGGTCAAGGGTTCAAGAAACTCGGTCAAAGATGTTATCAGCTGGGAAAGCCATTTCCTCACATCAACACTGATAAAAACCCAGCCAATACCACCCCTGGTCTAAAGGGCAAGAATGACCTTCTTTTGAACATCACTATAGTTGCACATCCCATCAAAGAAAATCTGTCTCAATTCTTTTAATGTCCTTTAATGACAGATAATTGTCCACAGAGGCACCCTTTGCCCAATGCTGAGTGAAGCCTTCACATTTCTGAATTGGACTCAACACTGAGTCAGTGTTTTTCAGCACACTTGGGACCACAGGACAATAGAATAAACAAACAATGTAACCAGCCCTACAACCTGTCTTATCTCATCCTTGTGTTCACAGAGATTCTTGAGGGTGGTAATGTTTACAAATTGTTGAAACTTTCTTTCTTCTGCTTCCTGAGCTGGCAAAAACATATCCTGAACAACCTAAGCAACGAGATTACACAAATTGCTTATCACTTGAGGGAAGCAACTTCTCCTCTCATTGGCCAGCATGTCTCTTTAATAAGTAGCACTGTTAGTATTTTCTGCAAATCCTCCCCAATTCTTATAAATCTATTAAAGTATTTAGGGTATTTCCTTGTAAATCCCAAATGGTATGGTCTTAAAAATCAACACACAACCCACCTCCCAAAAAAAGCCCAAGGCTATATAAGCAGAGAGAAAGAGAGAGAGAGAGAGATACAGACGTATCAGTTGCCAATCCAGCCTTCTATGGTAAAGAGAATGTTTAGGAAATGTGTACTCAGACACACAGCAGAAGAAACCATGTTTCAACATCAATAGGCCACTACTCTGCTCAACTGACTTCTCCAGGAGCCAGACTTAAGTTTAGAAGCATTGCATAGCTGGAGACATGAAGCCAGTATTGTGTCAAACAAATTAGCCTTCCGTCTGAACTAAAGTGGCACTTGGGACAGTTTGTCTCTTGGTTCCACTTTACTGGGTCAACAAATCAGATTTTTTCACTCAGAGTTAAGATTTAATTTACTCATCACCAGTTTAAACAGGATAAACTTCTGAATCTGTACTAACCATTTTTATTTTAAAATAGCAGTCATCTCTCAATAATCAGTAACTAATACAGAAAGGAAAAACAAAGTGTAAAATCTGTAAGATGGGTTAAAATTTTAAACGTCATTCTGTATTTTGTTATTCTTGTGACTTTATTTTGCTTTTAGTGCAAAAAGTAAGCAGACAAAATTCTGTAAAACTGAAACACTGGGCCTCAGGGGCAGGGGGGAAAATAACCTGAAATCTATTAAGCCATGTTAATTTAACATCTCATAAATTCTATGTGATAAAAAAGCTAGTAATTGCTTACAAACCACTACTCATTTCTTCTTTACTTTTAAAATTTTACTTAAAATATGAGCAAATGCATCCATTTTCACTGATACAATGGAAGCAGACAGTATGGTTTATGTTATTACCCAGTAATTTGGGCACATTAAAACCAATTCTCTGCCTTTTGTTTATTAATCTACTATACCAGATATCACAGTTTCACTCAGCAACCCTCATGTTTCAGATGATATTGAAAAATAGCTCATGTTCGTCAAAGAAAGTAAAAAAAAAAAAAGGAAGGTAAAGAGAAAAAGGAAAAAAAAAAAATAAGTGTTGTTTATAGAAGCCAGCTGCTCTGGCTTCGGCGCCAGCAGCTCTTCATCCTGCTATTTTACGCTCACAACCCCCACTGCCCCCACTGGCACAGGTACAACTAAATGTTGACTTCAATGCTTCAGAGAGCACTCAACTGATTCTGTACATGATTAATTGCCAAAGACATGGCTGACCATATGGAACAGAGAAAGCATCAAGTAATTCATACTTCTGTATATGATCATTTGGCCCCTGTTGTTTTAATGTACAGGAAAGAGCTAGTATAGCACAGACCTGGTGTCTTGCCCTTGACAGCCCATTAAGAAATCTCAAAGCACCTAGCTGAAGTTATGCTGTTGGCTTTTCAATAGCAGCCTAATAAAACAGAAGCAAAGC